TGCAGGGCCGCCAGCTCCCGGGCCCGGTTCTCCGTCTCCCGGTAGATGCGCCAGTAGAGTGTGCACATGACCGTGACCGGGAGGTAGAAGGCGGCCATGGCGGTGCCGAAGGTGATGATGGGCTGCGAGAGGAACTGGATGTAGCACTGCCCGGCCAGCACCGTCCGCTCGCCCACCAGGTACTGCCAGAAGAGGATGGCCGGGGCCCAGAGCACGAAGGACACCGTCCAGGCCAGGCCGATCATCAGCACCGCCCGGCGGGGCGTGCGCTTGGCGCGGTAGCTCAGGGGCCGGGTCACGGAGAAGTAGCGGTCGAAGCTGATGAGCAGCAGGTTCATGACCGAGGCGTTGCTGGCCACGTAGTCCAGGGCCAGCCAGAGGTCGCAGGCCAGCGTGCCGAGGACCCAGTGGCCCATGAGCAGGTACGTGGTGTAGAGGTTCATGGAGAAGGTGCCGATGATGAGGTCGGCGCAGGCCAGGCTGAGCAGGAAGTAGTTGTTGACGGTCTTGAGCTCTGTGTTGACCTTGAAGGAGATGAGCACCAGCAAGTTGCCCGTCACGGTGGCCAGGGACAGGAGGCCCGTGGTGATGCCGATGAAGGCCACTTGCCAGGGACCCTTTCCTGGTGCCAGGACGGTGATGTTGGGGCTGACGGCGGGTGGGGCCGAGGTGTTCATGGCGGCCGGGTGGGGCCGAGGGGGCAGCCCCTTCCTCTGGTCACACGGCGGGGCTTCCTCAGGGGGAGGTCATCACCTGGGAAGAGAGGACATGGGCTTCGGTTGGGGGGCTGGACACCGTCCACCGTCTGGAGTGGTGGGGGCGAGGAACCAGCCCCACCCTCCCAGAACTTCAGGCCAGACAGCGCCACCGGCACCCTCCCAGGCGGGCTGGGCCTTTCCTGCTTTGGCGGCCACACACACACACACACACACACACACACACACACACACGGTCATTATAACGCACATAATGAAGGGGTCTGCCCGCCGCCTGGGGGTGGGGGCGGCTTTGGAATCCAGGGATGCGAGTCTTCATTCTCGCCCCCCCCCCCCCCCCCGCCCCCCCTTCAGGCGCGGAGCCTCAGTGTTCTCCTGGCTGGGAAATTGCCGCTAATTCAGGCGCAGGAGACGCGCTCTGGTAGACAGCACGGCCAAATTTCAAAGCATTTCTCTAAATTCGATCAAAGCTCCCATTTACTGAGCAGTTGCTGCTCACCAGACACAATGCTCAGCACTTCACTGGATTACCCAATTTCAGGGCCGCGCGTCTCTGGGGGGAAGGTCTCTTAGGACCCGCGGGCCACGGAGGCGGCCGGGCCTGGTGAGGGTGACCCAGGTGGGGGATCAGAACCCACTTCTCTCCTCTCTCTCTCTCTCTCTCTCTCTCTCTCTGAGCACGTGGAGCTCCAGGGGAATAATTCCATCAAATAAGGAGACAAGAGAAGGCAGGGGAGGGCTCCCGAGGAGATAAGGGGAAAGAGATGGGAGCAGAGGGGCCTGTGTGCATGTGTATC